CTTACACGCGTGTCGATTACGACTCCCACAGAAAGGCCACGACTGTATTCGCGTCTCTTGTCCTCAGTTCTTACGTAAAACGTTCTATTATGCATTATTTGATTATTTAAATTCTCACACGTACGATACTTGACGTAACATAAACTTTCAAACAAAACAAGTCCCCGTCGCGTCGTAGCTTAATCCACGAGCAATTACATCAATTACGCTAATGTATCTACGAATGGAAATGTCGATGGGTAAGAGAAAGTGAAATTTCTTACAATGTTGCTCTTACGTGTTGAATATGGTACATTTTATGTTGTCGTCTCAATTGAATTCTGTAAATCGATGAGAAATTCGAAGAAGTCGAACCCGGCAACACGGAATGATACGAAAGATGTCGTCACATCTATAGGATTGCCAATTTCAATAAATTCTTAAAAAATTGAGAAGAAAAATAGACAAATACGTCGCACGGTGCTTAAATGGCGCAAAAGAATTCAGCGTTGAAAATGCTTAATAAAGGAAAATGGAGTTCGAACAAAGGGACTGTTTGTCTCCTGCGCTAAAAGAAAAAAGAAGTATATTTGTACATATGTATATTGTATATATACAATTAACATAATCACAATCTTGATTATGCTGCTACAAGTTCCGTGCATTTTCATAGATACAAAGACTGTTGCTCGTGATTCGAATTTTAATAATAAAAGAAATAAAAGAAAATTTTTTATTTTCAAACACCTGGTTAACAATAACAACCCAAAAGAAATTGTTTCAAACGGTTAAATCCCATTTTCATTAAAATTTGCCCGATTACGTTCGCTATTGGTGTACATCTTCAACTATATCGTGCAATCAATCCCATACCTATCAAGACCACCACATCTTTAACACCGACGAACATCTTCCTAACTGTTATACCTCTTGCTCTATACGTACAAAAAAAAAAGAAAAAAAAAAGAAAGAAAGAAGGAATTCTATTGAAACAAGCGATCCCATAGTTGCTCCCTCGAGTGGCAAGCGCTGAATCATGGTACACGCCTTTAAATACTTATCTATGAAGAGACAAAGTTGAACACAACATTCGTTTACCGACAAGGTGCATTTATTTTTGTCAACGACGAATGTAGTCTTTTAAAATAGTGTCAGCGCACGTTGGAGGACGCGACCGTCTACAGGTATTCTCTCGCGTCCCTCTGGCTTCGAATCAGAATAATTACCGTCGTCGTACTATCCCGCGTGGTCGTCGTTGTCTATACTCTCGACAGACGATGGCGAATTCACGGAATATGTCGTACGGTTTAAGTAATATTAAGCCTCCTAAGCGGCACGTCGTCACTTGTTTTGATTAAATCGTCCTTTGCTTGGCCGCCTTTGGGGGCTCGCGATAGCCAGTAAGTTCTCTTCGAAGGTGTCCAACGTGAAGTCCTGCTCTTTTGCCACCTTGGGTAGCGTCTTGTTCGCCTGGTTGCCTCTTCTGAGCAACCTCGTCGACGGTCCGACGGGATTCCTGGCGGGTGACACCATGCCGTTCCGTATTTGTTGTTTCCTCTTCTGCGTCTGGAGCCTCTTCAGAACGGCGGGCCTCACTGCTGCGGGTGGCGGTGGCATTTTCGGCGGTGGTAACCGCGGGGGCGGCGCTGGCGGTAGTCCGGGTAGTCCAGGTCCTCCGGGTGCTCTAATAGGACCCAGAGGCGGCGGGAAACCTGGCAAAGGGAATCCTGGCCTGGGTGGCGGTGGAGGAATGACTGGTCTCATCGGTGGCGGTCCGTACCTGAAAGGTCTGGGCCCGTACATAGGCGGAGGACCTGGTGGCATCGGAGGTGGGATTGGAGGCATGGGACGGAAGCCTGGCGGAGGACCGCCGAAACCAAAAGGCGGGGGAGGATACGCGCCGTCTTTGGCGAAACCCCGTCGCAGAGGCACGAAACCAGGGGGTCCCATCGTGTATGACGCTGGTCTGCCTCCCGGTCGCTTGAACGACGAACGCATCTTTCTGGGTGTTTCTGGCGTCGATTGCGGTGGCGAGTCCAACCTGACTTTGCTTGTATCTATCTTCTTGTCGCGTGGCGTTTTCCTCAGGGCGTTTAAGTATATCTCGCGCTCTATAGGGTACTCACGTGCCTCCGCGAACGCTGCAACAGGAATACATGCTATGGAGGCATAACCTATAACAGACACGAATATCGACTCGGGCGAAGACTTCTATAGAAAACAGTTGATATCTCAATGATTTCTGTCTGAAATGAGTTGAAAAAATTACCGGATGAACTCGAGAATATACTTAAGATAGTCTCGAAGTGAACAGAAAATTAAGTAAATTTTTCTCTGTAAGAAAAAAATCGCGAGAAACGCTTGATACGGTTTCCCTGCTTGCGAAATTCTTGCGTAAACGAGAGCAATGTTTGACGCGATTTTTGATTATGTGAAAGCGATTTTATGCCCCATCATCGGCGCTGCGCCTAACGCTTCCGTGAAGTCTTTTCTCGGTTCGTGTATTAAAGAAATAGTACACTTCCAAGACCGTGTGCTTATTGTTTATTAACGGGAGAACTGTAAATTTTTATTCTAAAAACAAGACTAATAGTTGACGATAGCGTTCTTGAGATTTAAAGAATTATTTGAGTGTATGGGAAAGCTGAAATCTGAAACGACAATTAGGCGAAAGATTTGGCAAACAATCAAAGAATAGCAATTCAACGTTGACATATAACATATACAAAGTTCTATGTTACCTACCTTTTAAACATTCTCCAAGTTCCCACCCTAACTGTTGTACAAGATATCTGTAATAATTATAAATTCGTTTAATAATCAACATAGCTTAATAAATATTCTCTTACTGTAATGTACATAAACCGATCATTTAACACGATGCGATAGTTGCAAAAAAGTATGTGCACATTTGTAAAGAAATTGAAATTTTTATTTTATAATTACGTTATGGTGATTAGTTACAAGAAATTACAAGAGATTCATCTAATTGACGATATCGCTTGATAAATACTTACATATTTTAATGTATATAAATCGATTATTCAACACGATGCAATAGATGTAAAAAGAATATGTGTACATATATGTGTGTTAATTTACAGCTAAAATCAGTAATAGCCGACTTTCCAATTCGTAATTATTTTAAATCGTGCTAAATTCAATTCACGAGTGAATCATACTTACCTGCAAATAAGATATCCTGAACGATTTATACCATGCGTGCAGTGAACACCAACAATATCTTCTGGAACAGGAAACAGAAACATTCTTCAAATGGCAATTTATTTCATGCTTTCCATAATTAAAAATAATTGTTTGATAATTAGAAATATCTCGTACAAGGGATAACTATACAATACATTCAATATATTACATCAATTACATAGGTAGAATTACCAATTCTTAATTCAATGTAAACATTCATTCGTATCCTTTAAATAATGAAATATTTAAAGAATTTTAAACAATTAATTATACCGATACAAAAATTATCTTCAATTTTCTACAAGCTTCTCTATATTAAATAAATGATCTTAAAACTCCATTTAAATTGAATATTAATATAATTCTAATCGTGTATACTTCACGAGAACGTTACATATACAATGTAAATAGCATTTAAATTCGAGCATGTAATTAATTGTTAAGTTTAATGAATTTGAATTATGTCCTGTTCGAATGGTTTAAATAAATCAAATGTTTTCTCTGCATAGTACTAGAGTTAGACCTCTCTAAATGTCACTGCCTCTGTCTCTCTAAACGTCGTACACTTATTCCATCCATCTTCAAAAAGGCACCTAATAAATCTAATAAATATATGTTTCTCGTTAAAAAAAAAAAAAGAAAAAAAAAGAAGAAGACAAAAAAAAGAAGACAAAATCCGAAAGGGGTCCGCGCATATGTAAAGCGCTATAGAAAGCAACGACGATGGGTCACACGTTTCGATGGGAATCCCTGTATCTCGAAACCACAACGCCAGAGTAAAACGTATGCAAGGATGTTAGCATTTCAAGATACTTTATAAGATTCGGCGAACAAGATAACCTCAAAGAGAACCAAGCCCAAAATATTATAAGAGCAGCGCACGTAAGGCGAGACGCACGATTTCACGGGTCATCAATTCAGCGTTGGTCAGAGGGGTCGGCACCTCTTCAGGCCCAGCAAGGGGCTGATTATAATATTACCGCAAATTACCAGCAAAAGCTGCGACGAATTCACGACGATTCGTGACTCGAGCTGGAGCGGGTCACGGCGGCACTTTCGCCAGGGCCAACCCTAATGAGAGTAGTGGCGTAATTGCCATCGTCCCTACTACCTCTTTCCCCGGTCAATTTCGTTCTTCATATTTTACTTTCATTGTATATAAGTGCGCGGCACTTTCGAGCCACTTCGTACCCCTTTACCTCGAGTTACACTGAATTAAGTGGCCATCGGAGATCATGCGATATGCTGTTTGACCTTCGCGAGCCTCTTAAGAAGATCGTTCGCGGAAACATGACACCATTTGTGCGCAGGAGCGAGGACCGTTTCAATCCTCAACAATAATATTCGAGACGTTCGCTAGCCGAGTCGATTAACTATACTTTTTGTATTTCTTTTAATTTTAGTGCCAGTTTGAATACTTTTCATGATAATAACTCTGTGCTGTGTTAGGCGTCGGTCTCGTTGTCACAAGTCCCAATCGTCACGATCAAGTCGTTGCAGCGATGCACATCAGATGTTTGTTGGAATTTAATTAAATAATTTTCAATGCTTGATTAAATCGTACCTTTCTACGTTCAATGTAAATTTTCTTAACAATCACCTTCGAGACCATCGAATGGACGTGTCTTTTTAGCCTGCGAATACTACACGACTTACTTTAGAAGCCAGTTTGAAGGATCACAATCGTCGCAATCAAATCGTTGCAACAATTCAATTCAGACGTTTGTAGGAATTTAATTTAGAAGCGAGTCTAAGAAGATGTTTAAGTAGACCGAACGATGAATTATTCCTCTGAATTTCTAAAGATCTGTGACTTGTTGATACAGTGTCCAAGTTAGTAAAATTATCAAAGAAAACACTTGAAAGAGTGAAGCTAGTGTCGTTTAAATTTGGATAACGCTATTTTTTTGTTCTATCTTGCTTGATAAAGGAGCAGGTAACCTTTAGACAAGCACCATGGGACTTGCCAAAATGATCACAATTAATTCTGGCAAAATTATAATGGACTACTCACCTAAAAATATTATTGTCTTTCTAAGGACCCATTAATGAGAGAGTAATTGTTTAGTGTACGTTTTATTCCTACGTTTTCTTTATGGGACAAACGAGAAAAAAGATGACACGTCGATCGTTGAGCAGTTTCAAGTATATGTTTGGATATATGTTCGCAACTTCGGGTTAGTATCGCACGGTTTGTGATCGATTAGTTGTTTCAACGAACTTCGTGCGCGTAGTAAGACGGTTGTCTCCCATTGGCAATAAACTTTTCTCAAAGAGACGACCCAGAAATGTATGGATAAATGACAGTTTGCGAGGCTTGAGAGGAATTCAAGCGTGGCATACGTATTCGATTAGAAAGAGAACGCACGTGTATCACAAACTGCACAACTAATTCCATATTCCCCGTTTTGCACGTACGGGACGAGCAAGGTAAGCTTATTCCACGTTCTTATCTATCACAGGGTCATCTCGCTTCTGCATACGAGGCAACATACGTCTTGCAGAAGACAGGAATATTCTGAGAACACGTCGGCATCTAATGTGGATCTAGAGCGAGCACCCCCGCCGAGCAGTGAGATACTAAGGCTGGCAAATAAGCCGATCCTCAGAAAGATTGCCAATGACCCACGACCTTCCTGATGCACTGTATCGACTTTCACAGGCGATTAAGTATCGAGTAATGGGTACCTCTCGCTCTTGTAACGCCAGGACTCCGACATTTGTAATTAATATCTACTAAGCCGTGACCGTATTAATATCTTGTAAGTAATACCATATTCAATTTGTTGTTTTATGAGTTCTGTAATGCATATTCTCTTCAACGTGTCTGTTGTCTTCGCTATCCTAGCCTTCTGGGGTCGCGTGACTCTTTATTTAATTCATTTTTCGAGTTACAGAATAATCATTGGACCGTGGATGTTCGTGCAAATTCATATTTTTATAGATACATGGAAAACAGAAACTTAAACTGAAGTATATGTTTTCTTATCTAAATATTGTATCGTGTATTATAGTTTTTCTATTTTATACATTTACGCATTTGTGAGCATTTTCGTATAGTTTTGTGTATTTAAACGTTTTGTAAATACAAAACCTACTACGTGCTGTCCATACTTTAAGACATTCTGTATAAAAATCTATTAATAAACATTCCAATTTTAAAGTCACTTTTTGTCTCGTGCGTGTGTTAAGCGTAATAATAATTGCTTAATATTATTATGCAATTATTATTTAATAATAATTTGAAACTTCGAGATCCCAGTAAAATGAATATCTCCGAATCGATTAAGCATTTGTAATATATACAGTAAAATTTACTTTCGCTTAAATATTAATCATACAAGAAGTTCTTCGGTACTTCAATAGATACTGTATTTCGAGGATCTAAATTAATCTAAAAGATTCACCTGGCCGACGCACACTGCCTAAGCAACAACTTTTACTGCAACCCCAAAAACAGAATTCTGTAATGCGAACTTATACATAAAATTAAGGTACACATGCGTGACTATTCCATTACAAGAATCGACAAGCAAAATTTATTGCTAACTTGGAAACTCCTGCAATGATTAAGATTTATAGTCAAGGTAACCAATTCGATGATAAGGAGTCTCACGCGCAATATATCTCGGCTATCTAAGGTAAGCCTGCTCAACAAAGAGAAGGGAAAATGCATTTTCCTCATCCTGTGTCCGCTAAGTACAGATACGCGAGTGTCTCGCGTGTCTCGTTATAAGACCGATGACGTTACAGGACATTTGCGACATTGTTATACCATTGTTGTTCTCGAGGGTGTGGTTTAGTGATCTTTCACAAATAAGTGCCTCCAAGAGCAACGAATTGTCCATCTTTTAGTGCTCCAATTATTCTACGAGAACTTCGTTTCATCGTATACGTGCACAAGTGAAAGTCAGTGAATTCCAAGGAGATTTTTCTCTAGTATCTAGATCACGCAATGGCTACCAAAACATCGAAATTGGATACACAGAGATGCACACCCCTTGTAAACGTGGAGAATTTAATTTGACGAGGAGACAAAAGTGGTTCTAGTGGAGCGCACGAGCTCATACGAAGTTAGTTTTCGTCTATACCCGCGGGACGTGGAGGCGAAAAGAGAAAGAGACAGGCAGAGGAGGAAGCAGCGAGTATCGCATGCCACTCCCTGGTGAACGTTAAGGTTGGTTTTCGGGCTACTAGAGTAGTCGTGAAGAACGACCCGAAGCGACGTGGTTAATGTGGCAATATGATATATGTATGAGCGAGAGGTACGTCGGCTCAAATAGCCCCTGGCTCCCCTTTCGTGTTCCTGCGTCTCCTAGCAAGAACGTAAACACCGCTGGGAATATATGTAAGAGCCGTTGAAATGGGGGAAGGAGCTTAACGTCCAGTACATAAACACAAAAATATTCGCCGTGGACGCTCGGAGCGCAAAAGGCTTTTCAGTCGACCGATTACTGCCGCCTTAAATCAATCCGACTCGTACGTATCGCGGGCCCGGTCACGGGCGAATACGATCCTGAACGTGCATCAGGCGCACACAGGATCAGCCAGTGGAGAGTGTTACAGGAGACGGTGGATGGATGCAAGACGATTAACGACATCTTGCATTCCGCGGCCGATAAATCACCAGCCACTGTAAATGGACTCTGCTTACTTATCTCTCATGAGTACCTGCGAGAAACGCCGCTATCTGAGAAATTACAAGGGGCTATTGGGACGCGTGTGCCCCACTGCTAACCGCGAAATATTGTATGGTGGCTACTGTACACGCGGTATCCACGGTTCACCCGAGAACTTGAGATGATAAGCGTGGGCCTATAACGAGACGCAATTTACAGGAAGATCTAAGATCGACGGTGTCATTATTCAGTTCCGGGTTGAAGGACTGGTGGTGTTGTAGTGAACACGGGATAAGCCAAGAGAAAGTGTCCTTAATCAGTCACCTGTGTTAGACGAGTATACTCGTCATGCGTAAAATTTAGGTAGCTTAGTTTCTCGTTTAATATATGTTTATGTGAACCAAATAAGTAAATATTGGTAATAAAATTGTCAACTTGAGTCATTATATAAATCTATGCAAGCTGAAATCTTTTCCTTACACCTTTTGGCTCGAAAGTTATTTTTAATAATAACAATAAGAAGAATGATAATATAATAATAATTTTTGTTGATAATAGCACACATTCTTCGAGGGAAAAATGGTCACTCCCTAAGCAGACAGGAAACAATGATTATTTAATCGAAGTGTAATGGAAATCTTAGCGAGTAGACCCAAGCTCTTAGCTTGTAAGCTTAATCATTTGGGTCATAATCCAAATCTACCAAACTGATATCTTCTTCTTCTTCTTCTTCTTCTTCTTCTTCTTCTTCTTCTTCTTCTTCTTCTTCTTCTTCTTCTTCTTTGTATCTCTTAATTTAAAAGTAATTTAATCTATTACAGTACAAACAGAATCCTCGTGTTTCCTTTAACTCGTTAGTTTTTTACTCCAAAGTTAGATTTTTAACCCAAATCTACCAAGCTGATATCTTCTCCCTCCTCTTCCTCTTCTTCTTCTTCTTCTTCTTCTTCTTCTTCTTCTTCTTCTTCGCATCTCTTAATTTGAAAGCGATTTAATCTGTCACAGTACAAACAGAATCCACGTGTCTGTTTTAACTCGTTACTTTTTCCCAATAATAACATACACTCTTTAGTACATAAACGTTACAAAACATACTACATATTATTGGTTACGTTTCGTACCAAGTATCTTCCAATCTGGTCTCGTTAAGAGAGTGGACAGTGGCCGCTACCAGGCCAACTAAGTAAAGTCTGAACGAGAAGAGAAAAAGATCGAAAGAGGGCTGAAGGAAGAGAAGCGAATACAAGAATGAAGAAAGAGGAATGCTCGAGGAAGCTTTCTTCTCTATCAGTTGATAAACGGCGGCAGATAATTAACAACGCCCTGGTATATGAATATACGCGCGTGGGCGATCCTTCGCTCCTCGAATTTTGTTCAGATTCGCTGGCTGATCGTTCTGGTCGTCCTCGTTCTCCGTGTTCCCTTTCTCTGAATGGTGTAAACCAAGCTGCGTCTAACTGGTAAAATAAGCAACGACTACCCTGAGGTCATTTTATGGGTTACCATTAATCTCTTATGAAACAAAATGGATATACAGCTATATGGATCTTCAGTTTTCTTTCTCAAATCACTGCTAGAAACGGGCGCATCTCTGCAAGACATTTTTTATAATTGATATGCAAATTATAGAAATTAGTGAAATTACGTTGTAGAGTTTCCTTTTATGAAATCATAAAATTAATAATCTGTATGGATTTTTCATACTATTTCCAAATTATTCTTTGAAATGACCACACCTGTTCAAGATATTTTTGTACGATTACCGATTAATTTGAAAATTACGTAAACTAGCGAAATCATAACACAGAGTTTTTAATAAAATCATGAAAATAACAACGGCTTTGTTTTCTTTTAGTAATTGCACCTTGAGACGAACACACCTGTACAAAATACTATTTTTGAGATTATGTAGTAGACGAGGCTGTGGAATATAAGAGATTTAAATTAATCTTACGAAAACATAGTCACGAAAATTGCACTTTCTAATATATACAACTTCACTACACCAGGGTATTTGTCAATTAAATTAAACCGATTTTAAGTAAAGAAAAGAATTCAAGCGACCGAATAATATTGGAATAAGAATCAACAATATCGATAACGTTACACGTAGAATGCGCTCACCTTCGCCGCACGCTGATGTGAAGTCATCCATCACTTTAAAGAATCTGAAAGTAAACAAGATAAATATATTTACTTCTAAAA